CTGCCCCCTCAACCTCCTGCGCCTCAGCTCCTGACACTCTTCTCCTCACTCCCTCAGTTTCAGCCTCTCTGTCCTCCTGGTTCCTCAAAAACTGCCGGCAAGGCGCTTCCTCTGGGCCCTGCTGTGTCCTCTGCTTGGAGCACTCCTTCTCAAAACCTTCCCATGGTCTCCTCCAGCACTTCACTCAAGACTCCCCTCAAACGACACCTCATCAGAGAGGCCTGTCCTGCAATCCCACCTCAATTAGCACCCACACTGCTCCTACTCTTGATTATCTTACCTGACCCTTTGAATTCCTCCATCCCTTAGGCCCACTGACACTTTTACATTTTGTTTTCATTTGTTGGTTTGGTCATTGTCTCTCCCCACCACTAAAATGTAAGCTCCATGAGGGCAGGGATGCTTGTTTGATTCAATGTAGCATCCCCAGTGACTAAAACAGTGCCCGACACATATTACACACTCCGTGAATATGGCAAATGAGTGAATGAACACAAAGGTTTCCCAGAAGACTTTGAAGTCAAGGGTCTATGACTATGTCACTCTAGTTGGGTGAAGAGTAGAGACAATAAAAAAGGGTCAACCTTCCCTATACACCCAAGATGGTGGGCCCAGGACATTACCTCTTGGCCCCATAGACCCAAGATACAACCACGGTTTCCAAAATGATGAGGAGGAGGACGGAAAAGAGTAGCCAGTAGGCACCCAGCAATGTGACAAAGTAGAAGCCTGAAGGTCGAGCAAAGAAGAGGCTGAGCAGGAACATGAGCAAGGAGATGCTCACTGGAGAAAACATTGGTTTGGGATCAAGGTCAGAGGTCTGGCTGGGTGACAAGGACAAAGCAGAGGTCATTGACCAGTGCAGGATAAGAGTCTTTGTGGAGTCAGGGCTGTTGAGGGGAGTAGGACTATAGGTCAGAATACCTATGAGCAGCTTTGGATGGCTTCTGAAGAAAGGGAAGGTGTCCTGCAGTGGAGTAATGATGGCTTGCATGATCCCTAACATGACAACCACCCCTGGGACAGGTACATCATGAAAAGGAGGATGGCCCAGAAGGCTGACCCAGGAATTAATGACACAGCTTCAATGAAGGCCAAATAAGAAAATCTGAGGCCCTGACTAACCTGTAAAGGGAGAAAAGTGCAGAAGGAGACAGACGGAGACATAATCCATCTTTCCTGGAACACTCCTGAAGTCCCAAGTCTCTGAGAAGATCATATCTCCAAGCTGACCCTCTGACCTGCAAAACCACCATGCCCAGCATTAGGCATGGAAGAGCATTCTGCCAACGGGAGCTGTCTGTGTTGTGCTCAGGTTATGAAGGAGTTGCTCAGCGAGAGAAATATGCTAACACACGACAATGCAAAAGCAATAGGAGAGTTTATTAGCTAACTTAAGTTAGGGTTCTTGCTCTTACTAAATCAGTGGTTTGAGTAAAAGACCCTGTGCTCCGGTAATTTCACAAATTTATGGAAAAATATGGGGAGGAGCAGCACCAGGGCGAGAGGATACAGATGATTGGTTGTTGCTAAGGGATTTAGGGCAGTGATCTAAGATGTTGGGGGACATAAAGAAACCCCCTGGCTTCAAAGTTCACTTAGGAAAATATTATCTAGGGAGGATGCAAGGCTCAGGTATGTGGAAGACTTTCAGGAGCTCAGCAAATCTCCGATACATGCTGAATCCGGATGGCTTTTGTGATGCGTGCTGAGTTCTGAGGAAGTTTCTTGATACCTGCTGAGACTGGAGGGCAGATAAAGGCCCTAAGGAGTGTTTAGAATTCCAAAAGCTTTGTTAGTATTGCTGACACTAAAAGGTTTCTGGTTAAAGATTTTCCTGGAGGCTACTAGAACTCTGGTCTCAGACTTACATCTGCACCACCAGGACTGCAGATTATCTTGGTGCTTCTGGGCTGTTTGCTGGTCCTCATAAAAGCCAACATTTCTGTTGTCTATCAGACTCTGAGGAATCCTAGCCCCACCCCTGCAGCTACCTTTACTGACCTTCAAAAGCTTATCCTTTATGTTACAGGTAGACACCTTGCTGAGGACCATCTTCTTGGTGGAATGAGGAAGGCTGTCAATCCAAGTGGTGAACATGGAGGGTGCGTTAGCAAGCGTCTTTTCAGGGGGCTTGGCCTCAGGAGGCAGTTCTCCCAAGGATACCAGATTCAGGAGAATTTCAACATTCCTGGGGATAAGAGGTTCAGGCACATAACAACAACATATAGGAGATCCTGGATAGAGAGGGAGAACAATGTGGAACAAAACTCAGAATCATCTGGAAAAAAAAAAAAGACCAGGTTTGCTGGGCTGATAGAGCCTGATGGAACCATTGAGACTATGGCCCTAGCTGCCCATCAGGTCTAGAATTAAACCCACTCCTGTGGCTTCCAGCCAAACAATAGACAGGCATATGAGGTGAACATTTACATCAGGTAGATACACTCCTTGAAGAAATCAATCATGGGAGAACAGAAGGGCTGTGTATACACAGGGAGACAGCTGGGGGGCAGGAGTGCATGGAGGGAAGGACACAGGGAAGAGGTAACTATGGGGACGAAGTGTGAGGGGAGCTGTTGCATTGTGGGAAATTGCAGTCAATGTCATGAGATAAAGTGTATGTGATCTGCTGTATAGAAAGTGAATTTGCTCTGCAAACTTCACCCAAATCACAATAAAAACTAAAAAAACAATAATAATAAAAAATATATATTTCTGTATATGCACTCACCATAGAGATACTGCAGTAAACAATTTGGCCTTTTGGTCCTGCTTCCTGAGAGCCAAGACAACACCTGATGCCAGCGAGTGGGGTCTGAGAAGACTAAGAGGGTTACCCAGGGTGCTCCATACTACTAAGCCTCAGGAGTCCCTGTGGTGAGGAAAATAATGGCTTTGGAAGACAGAGAGAGGCTCACTGGAGCTTCCAGGTTGGAGAGGGCATGAACATTCTGCTCTCAGAAGGGTAAGCATGTACCCTGAGGACATGGATGCTCTATACTGAAGACCCTCCCAGATGTCATCTTTCCTGTTTGCAACCTTTTTCTGTGTATATCCTTCTCTGTTTATATTAAAGTTGTTATTACACATATGGTGTTTCTGTGAGTTCTGTGTGGCTCTTGCAATGAATTATTGAACTTGGCAGAGAAACAGAGTGCCTTGAGTAGGGGATAGCTGGTGACAGAATGAATAGGGAAGTTGGGAATTTGGGATCCATTTGACCTCCACCTCATCCTGACTCACAGAAACCCCTCCTTGGGTTTCTGAGGCAGTATCTCTATGGAAGTAGATTGCCCAGTCTTCCTTCTGTGGAGTGGCTGGTGGGTTTGAACTACCAGCCTTTTGGTTAGCAGTCAAATGCTTTAGGCACTATGCCACCAGAGCTCCCTGATATGAATCACCTGATTGTTATATTCAAGGGTTATTTGTTTAAAAGCAGGAGGTCTTACACTGCCAGATCTCAAAACCTAGTATATAGACACAGTAGTCAAAACTGCCTGGTATTGGTACAATGACAGACACATAGACCAATGGAATAGAATTGAGAACCCAGAAATAGATCCATTGACCTATGGTCAACTGATCTTTGACAAAGGGCTTAAATCCATTAAATGGGGAAGAGAATATCTGTTTAATAAATGGTGTGGGCAAAACTGGATATCCATTTGCAGAAA